GCTGATGAAGTTGCGAGTTGCGCCGCAATCTAGCAAAGCGTTGCAGGCCGCTTGCCCAATCTGAATGCGAACGTAGAGCAACGGTGCGTTGTTTTCTGCGTACCGTTGCGAGACAAACTCGCGGGCCACCTTGGCAACATAGCCAAGCATATCCCCCACCGCAASTTCGTCTAGCGTCGGCGAAGTTGGTGGTGCATGGAAGGAAAGATACTGGTGTAAGAGGGYGCATAGTGCTGCGCTTTGCGGCCCCGTTAGGTTGCCTGTCGTAGGGAGAGGAACCCAAGCGAAATCCTCGGGCGTGAGCGGGTCCAAAGCCTCCTCGTTGAACGCGCTTGCCGAATCCCTTGATGAAGACAAAGTGGCGGAGGAACCTCCGGACGGTGAGAAAGCCGCACATGTATCTTGTCCCTGAGAAGCATCCAGTGAAGGAAGGAGTCGGACATCGAAGTCTTCGAACGAAAGTGGGAGACTCCCGACATCCGCATATGCCTTGGAAGAAAGGGCTATCGTGCGCGCAACCGCTTCCGATGGCGTCGAGGGAGGTGTCGAGTCACCCTCGGCGGCGCCTGCTTTTCCGAACGGGGTTTCCCCTTGGCGGGGCAATGTGCAGCATCGTGGATGGTGCTGTTGCACCAAAGGCAATAACGGTACTTGAGTCTCGTGCGATAGCAATTCGCCGAGAGTCCGTATTGTGTCCAAGGTTCGTCGGCTGCTGATCCGGTGCCCGGTGAAGAGGTGGACCGAGTCTTCGTCTTGTCGCGGCCGTGGTTGTTGCGCGGCCGGCCACCATCCCGRGCAGCTGCCAACACTTCACCCTCGTTTGGTGTTGCAGCCTCGGCATAACAAGTCGGCGAAGTCGGCGCAATGCAAGCCACCTTTGGCTTGGGCTGGGTGCTGCTCGTCGTCGTGGAAGATTGGCCGGCGTTGCGGGCTTCTACATTCGTGAGAATGATCCGCGACGCTGTGCTGAAAAGTTTGTCAGATGTGTCGAGTGTCTCTGCAATCTGCGTCGGCCCGTTTTGCAGGGCTGGACACGAGCGCATGATAAACAAGTGCTTGACGCCGCGGAATGCGAGCGGCAGGTCAGGAGTGGAGGCGAGTCTTTGGAACTCGGTAATCCAGTCCTGACTGAGCAGCGTGTTTTCATGGAGCTTGTTGAGCTTGTCCATAGCTTGCAGGTYGAGCGGCTCCACTTGGAATGGCTTGTGCCAGGCGTCAGTCAACTCCTGCCAAGTGAGCTTGGTGTGCAGTTCCGACACTGCTACGCCGTGGCTGGTCAAGATGTTGTCCAGCCATGCTTGACATGCACCACCAGATCGGTGGTACAAGCACGGATGTCGATCGTTGTTCGGGACATGGTGCATGTCGAGCCTGAGAGTAAACYGGMGCCACCACGGGATCGGTTCCRTTTTGGATTGATCGCAGAAAATTGGAATGTCATCCAGTTTGGGTGGGSGTTGGGAGGATGTGGCCGCGGGCGTCACGGTGGCAGCAGCCTGGACCTGYGTCTCCAACTGCAAGTTTTTTGTTGCTTGCTGCGACGTCCGGAAATCCTGATGGACATGCTTAATGTTGCTGACGTCATTCTCCAAAACTTGAACGTGGGTGGTAAGGTTGGAAGGCCCTGCGGCTGCTACARCAGCTGGCTGTTTCTCCAACGCCTGCAGCCGTGTAAGCATCTGGTCCACTGTCTGCTGCAGGTGAAGGATTTCCTCCTGCTGCAGAGCGCAGGTGGCCACGAGGTCGTGGGAGATCTGCGCAACGGCGGACAGCCCTTTGTCAGTCTCCGGGGCCCCGTCTGCAGATGCCATTTCCACCCAATGTGAGGTCTCATCGCCGATCACGGTCTCCCGCGTGAACAGTCGTTCCCGCTGGCGTGACCGGTGTTCATCTGCCGCCTGCAGGTCTGCCTCCTCTTGACGAAGTCGGTCCTGTTCCTCCTTCCGTCGCTTAGCCTCCTCTTCTTGCTCATTCTGACTACGTTCCTTGGCCGCGGAGGCGGCCCTATTGTTGGCCTCCTGGATGAATGCCGCCAGGCGTTCCTCATAGGCCAGGAGGGATTCTCCCGGCTTCCGGTCCATGACCTTGGTCTGTGATCGAGTGAGTGGCATGCACTGTCGTGCCTGAAGAGTCACCCGTGGGCCAATCAGATGGACTGGCCCAGTACCCGGACTTGAGGGGGAGGAACAGGTAGGCAGCAGACAAGTGGGAAGGATCGGACAGATCCCAAATTGAACAGTTTCCTAATAAAAAAAAATAATATAATTTTTGATAAGAAGTAAATCAAAATTCGAAAAAAAGACTGTCCAATCCCACTGAGTACCGAAGGTGATGCAGAAAGCAGATGTGAACCTTGGGTGCTCGGACTGCAGAGAATCAGAAAAGAAGAATCTTTTACAAACTCAGAGTAGGAGTAGGTTGCAAAAAGGAAAAAAATGCCGCTTTTTTTTTTTGTGAAAAAAAAGAACGGAATTTGCAGACCTACGCAGTGAAAGTGTAGAGGGACATTTCGGAAAAAAAATCGCGAAATTGTCAAAATGCAGACATTTAACAATTAAACAAGGTCAAAAAAACTTTCCCGGAAAAAGAATTCTCAGAACGAAAGAAAAAAAAATTCTCGGAAAACAGATTTTCTCGAAAAAATAATTTCTCGGAAAAGAAAAAAAAATAATTTCTCACAAAATTTT